AGGCCTTCAAGAAGTCAATAAAGCAATCTATAACTAGTAGAAGATTAAAAAAAAAAAAAGCAAACCCAAGGTGGAAAGAAAGATGACTCAGTAATTAGGAGCTTGTATTGTTCTTCCAGAGGATGGGAATTTGATTCTCAGCACCCACATCAGGTATTTCTGCACTGGCATGCATATGCCCCCCCACACACACACAGTAAAATGTTTTTAAAGCAAAGCTAGAGGTATTTACAGCATGTGTTTGGAAGTTGATACAAAGTATGAGAGCATGTGTATAATTTGTACTTACGAGTACTTTTTTCATTATTCAATTTGCAGTGCTGGGGATCAAAGCCAGGACTTTGAGCATGCCAGGCAAGGGTTCAAGCTCCACTCCAAGCATTAATGTCTGCATAAATAGGTTTATGGGTTCTGTTGTTGCTGTATTTGGGGTTTTTGTTTGTTTTTGTTGTTTTGTTTTAACAATTGTCTTAAGCATTAAAAGGGAGTAGGAAGTTTAAAGGATTACACACAGCTCATAATAACACAATATGTATACAAAACTTAAATTCAAAATAGAACAATTGAACATATCAGTTCTACATTTTATATTCATTTAATTCTTTGTATGATGTTCTACAGCAACCTTGATATAAGTATATAATACATTTCTGGAAATTTGATCTGTCATCTACAAATATTTCTATCATGTAGAACATACCATGTCAAGATTACACTACTAGAAAATATATTACAATAATATTTATCAAGATTATTATTGTCCTATCTCAAAATTTTCAATAATAATAAAACCCTCTAACTAGGAGGTAATTGAGTGATGGTTGCAGTGGCAAACTTTGATCACTAGGGAGTGCTATTAGCAGTGCCTGCCCGAATCACAGCAGTTATGGTGAGTTGTTCAACTTTGGAGAGGAAAGCTAATCCCAAACTACCTTAGAAGTCACAGAGCATTTCTTGACTGTCAGATGCACACATCATCAGGAAGCGCAGCACAATATCACTGTTCCCAATTTGAGACTGTGAGTATAAAGCCTGGCAGAGCACAAGCCTGTGACCCCAGCACTTGGGATATGGAGGCAAGAGTAAGATGGGGATGCTTGAGGTTAACCTGTAGTAGTGCTGGCACTTTGTCTCAAAAACAAAACAACAAAAAACAAAACTCCAAAGCAAACCAATGAACCAACCAGGCCCATAGGAATACAATGATGTATTATTGGATGACGTTCCTGTAACACAAAACAAAGTTCAAAAACAAAACCCTGAGCATACCATTTCCAGTACCCAAATAAACAACAAACTGAGAAAATGTAGAATTAATTATTCTAAAACACTTACCTATTGCTGGGGCTACAGCTCAGGGATACAATACTTGCCTATTGTGCATATATAATGTATGTGTATATTAACTTAGTAATATTAATCCAAGTCTCAAAAAAGTTAAGGAAAAATGGCAAGTGGATTAAGAAAGAAATGTAATTAGAAAAGAGCCATTCCTGTCGGGTGTTGGTGGAGCACACCTTTAATCCCAGCACTCGGGAGGCAGAGGCAAGTGAATCTCTGTGAGTTCGAGGCCAGGCTGGTCTACAGAGCTTGTTCCAGAATAGGCTCCAAAGCAATACAGAGAAACCCTGTCTCAAAAAACAAAAAACAAACAAAAGAGCCATTCCCTCCTTTTCTTCTGCAATGCTATCGATCAAACCCAGGCACATAGGCATACAGGCATGTTAGCCAAATGCCCATCACTGACCATACCCTAGAATTACTTTATAAATCAAACTATTTAGTTTAACTTTAGTTGATTTGAGTTGTTATCAAGCCCAAATTGATATTCAACAAACTTGTACTCCCCAAATTATGGTTACCTTGTCTAGCTGTCCAACATTTTTTCTCTGACTTATTCTTTTTATTTGGAGTTTTAAATTTTTGAGATAAAGCTTATCACCACTAAATGATGAAGTTTCAAAAATTAACAGAAATTAAATCAGAACACAAATATTTAGGGTGATTCATAGAACTGATGTGAATGCATTTTTTGTTTAAAAAAATAAATGTAGCAGACATGCTCAGAGGATCCCAAGTATCTGGCTCACTGTATTGTTTAGTGACCCTTGTCATAGAGTCTAAATGAGCTATAAACCCCCAAAGTGACAGTTACTACAATTTCATCTATAGGATTTGCATATTTGCTAAGTACAATGCAAAACTCTGAACTAAGTTTTGTATTTGTTTTTCCGGTACTTAGCAAAGTAGTCCACCCTATGAAAATTTGTTTGTAGAGATCCTGTGGATTGAGTAATGTTCAAATAGAAACTAGTCTGATGAAAAATTTAAAGGCAAAGAATGGTAGTTTGCGGAAGCATTTGTGCACCCCACTGTTGAGTTTCATGTTTCAAAGCACTGTGTATCCAGTTTGCAAAACAGCTTGACAGCTGTAATGAGATACAATTAATGCACAATTATTAGTGTGCAGTTCTGAGGTCTGAGAGGTTTTGTTTTTGCTCTTTTATTGACCCCAGAGATTGGATTCAAAACATTGTATGTAATAAACTTCTGCTCTACTACAGAGTCTTAGCCCCTGGGGATTTAGTTTTTGCTTTTTGGGTGCTTCATTTAGTTATTTCTCTTATTGTGTTGACAAAATACTTGACAAAAGCAGTTTAAGGAAGGGTTTATTTTGGTTCATGGTTCAAAGGTCCAGTCCATTATGGAGGGACAAGCTGTGGAGCTTGAGATGTCTGGTCACCTTGCAACTGTACTCAGGGAAGCAGAGAGACATGAATGCTGGTGTTTTCTTGCTTTTCTGCACACGAAGTCAGCATTTGCAGGCAGACTCAGGGTGGGGGCAACTTTAACATTCCCTTGGGTCCAAGGCTACAGTCCGTTTTAAAGAGAAGGGGGTTAAGAATAGCAAGCATCAGCTCTCCTCTATTGTCATACTGATTAATACCGTAGTGCTAGGGCTGGGGTTCTGGAGTAGTGTGTTTGCTTTGCTAGGACACAACAAAGAAACAAAACATTCTGTGATGCTGTCCTGGTAACCACATGCTGTAAAAGAGCCACCTAGCTCATTTCCTGTTGAGATCAGGGGAACATTACAAAATGGTACCTAAATGTGGTAGAGTAGCATGCACATTGAAGAACAGGAAAAGGAAAGGTTATTCAGTGTTGTTTATTTCATGCTAAAACAAAGGGAAAAAAAAACTATTGTAAGGTACATTATGTCTTGTATGAAGACTTCCCAGCATAAAACCGAATTTTAGTATCCTAGTTTGTAAGATTCTTCATAAATCTAAGTTTTATTCCTTTAATATCCCAGGGTACACACAGACTTGAGTCATTCATCTTTATTTTCCCAATCTCTATTGGTTATCTATCACCACACAGTCAGTCAGTGTTAAAGGTAATAATAAACATTTATTTTTGATGCTGGGATTGAACCTTAAACATTTATTGTACCACTTTTTTTTTTTTTTTTTTTTGTGGGGCTGATTTAGGGAGTGGCTTACCTAGCTGATTCTGGCTTTGCTTATTTTACAAAGTTGGTTGTCGAGATGCTAGCTGGAAGCTGTAATTCCAGCATGCCCAAGGCTGAGGCAGGGAAATCAGAAGTTGATGTTATCCTGGGCTACATAGGGGTTATATTCTATCTTAAGACCAAAACAATGAAGATCCCACAATGAAACCCATTCTTAAGTTTACCTGATTTTTCTTTAAAAAAAAAAACAAAAAATTCTACCTGGTGTGGTAGCACGTTTATAATGTTTATAATAATGGGGAAAAAAAGCTTTTTTTTTTTTTTTTTTTTTTGGGGCTTTCATCAGTTAAAAAATTTGGCAACTTCTTTATGTTGAATAGAACAAGATGACTTCATCAGTTGCCTTTGAATGTACATTTTGTTCTGCTTTTTGTCCAAGAATCTGAACATGACCGGCAGTAAAGATGTCTCCTGTTCGTAAAAAAAACTTAAAGAGGCTGGCATTTCCTCAACAGTATGAACATTTCTGTCACTTAGGAAAATAATTAACAGTGAAGCATTAAAATTCATCGTATCCTTTCTGTCCATGGCAAACATGTGACAGTCATTTTCACTGTTAAGGAGAAAGAGCATTGGACATGTGATATTTAAACGGACCTGAGGTTTGGTTTTGACACTAGTTTTATGTTCCTGGTAAAGTGAATTCTTAATTTTTAATGTCTGTATCACAGCCAGTAAAGATAGGAGGGGGACTTACTCTTAGTTTTTTTTGTTTTGCTTTTCGCCAAAGAGCTTGGCACTCATTCAACACGAAATACAAATGTCTCCATCTCCACGCTTCGCACTCAGTCTTTGTATGTCACTGAGCCACTCCTGCAAACTCCAGCTTAGAGTCCCAGACTGGTCCACACCAAGGTTGTTCATTGTGCTTATCCTTTTTCGTAGGTTGTGAAGGGGCACTCCCTTCTCCAGGCTGACATCTTTGTAACTCTTTTCTTTCCTCTTCACACCTTCGGGGTTCCTGGCCCTAGTCAGGAGCTTAGGTTAAGGTTCTGAGGACAGCGCCCATTCCTCAGATCCTGGCGGCTTTGGGTCTGAGCAGGCGAGTAGACCCGGCTGCCCCAGTGACAAAGTATTTCCAATTTTCTCCAAAAGGCCTCAACTCTGTGGCAACAAGCACGCTGAGCTAGGAGAACACCTACTAAAGTCTGCTCTCAGAAGCACTGCGCCCTGCATCTCAGGACAGGCCGGCCAGCCGTTGCGGTGGAGGCTGGAACTACAAGTCCCAGAATCCTCGCGCGCACGCGCACTGTCATTGTGATGCTCCTTTCCCGGTAACTCGCCCTCTCAGGCAAACCTGAAGATAGCGGCAATTCTCCGGTGGGGGGCGGAGACGCTCTCGGCCCAATTCTCCGCCCCCTCCCTGATAGGCAATGGGACTAGCCAACCGACGCCACGGGCTGGGAAAGTGCTCTCCAATCAGCACCCGCGGCGGAGAGGTGGGCGGTGCGCGTTGGCAGGGCAGGTGGGCTAGGCTGTGCGGCTTGCGGGGGGGAGAGTAACGTCGGGCCGGGTCAGCGGGCGCTGCAGTAGTCGCCGCAGCGGCTATGGGAGCGGTGGGGACGAGGCGGCGGCGGCGGCGGCAGGAGGAGGTGCAGGGGCTGGCACGAGAGCAGCGGCCTGGGGAGGCCCGCAGCAACACCCGCAGCCGTCGCCGCCGCCTTTAGACGCGGACGGCACCCGAGGGGACCGCCGGCCGTCTAAGCCGCGCTCGGGTCCCGCCGCAGTGGGCGGCGGGGGATGGGCAGGCGGCGGCGGGCCAGCCTGCTGAGCGGTGACTCCTACCTGTGCGGACCTTGAGCTGGACCCCAGTCCTCCGCCGGAGATCCTGCGTCCGCCGCGGCCCAGGTAGGACACACCCCCGAGCCCCAGGGCGTCTCCAAGTAGCCGCTCTGCGCCCGCCGCACCCCTTGCCCAGCCCTACCGAGGCATGGAGGGGAGGCTGCCCGAGACCCCTGGGTCTCTGCCCACGCCCTGGGCCGGTGCCAGACCCAAACTGGTCTTCATCCCAGAGACCGTTCTGGTTCTGCTCCATTTCCCCGGAGGCTTTGGGTGCCTTCCCTGAACTTGGAGGGTCATGAAGCTGCTTCATCTGTTCTGTGGGTGACCCATATATCACTTGTACTCATGACTCTTCTGATTACCAGGACCGAACAGAGAGGATTCTCTAAAATTGTGAGCGTTTCATTTTACCTTGCTTTTCTCGCTGTAATGGAAGAGGGACGGAACTACGGAATCTCTTCTCTGTGGTAACAAGGAAGGCCAGGACTTTGTAGTACTGAAGTAATGACCAGAGAGATTTGCTTTGACAAAGACGATGCTGTTGATACGCTGGGATGCCGAAAAGGGGACAAAAGAGCCCGCGTATGCATACTGACGAGTCAGAGAAGTAAATCATGGGGATGCTAGGATACTTGATCTTTCAATGAAGTTCATTTTGTTTCTGTTGTGGCGCTGCCTTAGAGGTAAAAATGACATTGAGTTGTACTTTGCTTTGTATTAAAGTTGATAGGCTTTTCTCCTCCAGCTTTGGAAGCTGTCCTTTGAACATTAAAGAAGACAATTTTATTTTAACCTATATATGATGGGGAGTTGTTATTTAGTGGAATTGAATTTGTGTGACAGAGTGTATTATGAATGGACATATGTTTGTACTTAGACTCTCAATTACAAGGAGTATTCAGACTGTGTATCATTACAGTGTTTGGTTTTGAGTCATTGACAGTTGCATTGACATTAAACATGGACTTGCCAGAATAGACTGCAAAGATGTATCTGTTTTCTTTTGGCTAAGTGGACTAGAATAACATTCATTTGAGGGTTTTAAAAAATGAGGATTTTAAAAGTATTGAGTGGGTTTAATACTTTTTGTCTTGCCACTTGAAAGAAGCTGTAATGATGCCAGATAGGACAATATGACATCTTGGGGAAATCTATCCTGATATGGATTGTGGTCTATTAAAAATTAAAACATAATGAAAGAAATCTTTAATGCAAAGGCTTACATTTTCTTTATGAAGACAACAAAAGGGATGCTTGAAGCATGATTACAAAGGAAAGTTTAATAGTTTAACTTTATAATGGAATATTAGAAATTTGATTTTTCACTTTAAGTTTTGGACACATAAAAGACATTGAAGCTTATACATAACTTCATTAATTTTAGTTATAATTTCAAACTGAAACAATTTGACCTGGCTTAGAGAATATATATACATATACATATCATTGAGTGAATTCAGAATTATATATAACTTTAGATTTTTATTGTTAAGTAGTGGCTATTTTCATACCTCAGGAAAGCTGAGCAAATTGAACTCAGTTACTTAGGACTTATATCTTTAAATGCCGTGTTAGAAGTGAAGTTTATATAATTTAGACAATTTTAGGGAGCATTTTATACATAAAGCTGCAAAAAAATGTGACAGACATGGGTTATTTAAAAATTTTTAAGATACATTTATTTTTTTGTGTGTAGAGTCTTTTGCCTAAATGTGTGCTCAGTGGTAAGATATTGGTTTGTCTTAAGTATTTAAGAGTTACACTGATGAGTTAGTTCTGATCATGGAATTTAAGTTTCATTTTGGTGCTGAGCAGGAAGTTCTTTGTGAGCTACAGAACTTTATCAAGTAATACCTATTGATGATACTGCTTTGTTATTTAGAGGCAGACTATGTAGTTCAGTCTGCTCTTGAAGTCCTAGTAATCCTTCCTCGGCCTCCCAAGTGCTTGGGAGGAGTTAACTACAATTTTTATGCTGGGCTGAGGTTCAAATTCAGGGCTTCATGCATTCTAGGCAAGTACTCTACCAACTGACCTATATCCCCAACTCTTTATTTTGTTTTGAAAGAGGATTTTCCTAGATTGCTCAGGCTGGCCTGGGTTTTATGATCTGACTGTGTTTGTCAACGGAATAACTAGGATTGCAAGTATGCACAACCACACCCAGCTAGCGCATTAATCTTTTAAATATTGTTTTAAAAAATTTTGTGTGTATGTTTGTTTTGCCTGCATGTGTGTAATTGCACGGTGTAAATGCCTGGTGCCCATGGCAGTCAGAAGGTGCTAGATACTCCGGAACTTGAGTTACTGATGATTGTAAACTGCCATGTGGGCGATGGGAACTGAATCTGGGTCCTTTGGAAGAGCAGACAGCGCCATCTCTAGCCCTCATTTACCTTGTTATACTTCCTTTGTTTTAAGTTCACTTTCTCTCATTTCATGATACTTACCATAAAAATTAAGGTAGTCTTGTTTCCCTTATTTAAGTCATATAATCATTGCAATACTACATTTTTGTTAATATTTGTCTGTAGCTTTCTGCATGTGTTTTATGTTATGGAGTATATTTGTTCAGTATCTTTTTTCTTGGTTCACTAAGTACTTCAGCTTATACAGTATCTAAAAATGGTCTTATCAACATTTTTCAATGACTAGTAAGGCAGAGATGAAGGAAGAAAGGTAAGAAAAAGAAAAGCCAAAGAGAAAAGTATGATTATATACTGTTAATGGTGTTGATTTAAAAGATTATCTGGATGCAAAATTACTTGGTAAACTGGGTTAGGACTTCCTTTGTTTGAACTTTCATGGCATTTAATAAATTCAGCATATTCAGGGCTGGAGTGATGGAGAGATGGCTCAGTGTTTAACAGCACTTGCTATTCTTGCAGAGGACCTATGTTCAGTTCTCAGCACCTACATGGTGGCTCACCACCTTTCATAGCTTCAGCTCCAGGGGATTCAGTGCCTTTTGACCTCCAAGGGCACCAGACTCACACATGATGCACAGATATATATGCTTTTAATTTATTTAATTTACATTAAATAAATTATTCAAAGCAGTCTCTTTGAATAGTAAGTTATTGTAACAGTTGCATACATCCATTCTTTAAATACTTGCTAAGCATTTCCCATGTTTTACTACCATGGGTTAAAGATTTAGTGGTAGTGCTGGGCAGTGCTTTTGTATACCTTTATGGTTTTGTACACATTTATGATTTTGTACACCTTTACTCCCAGCACTCGGGAGGCAGAGGCAGTCAGAGTTTGAGGCTAGCCTGGTCTACAGAGCTGGCTCTAGGAAGGCTAAGGCTACACAAAGAAAAAATCAGCAGTAGGCAAAAGATATCTCTTCACTTTTAAAAAATAATTTATTTAACCTTTATTTTATATATATTTGGGTGACGGTATCAGATCCCCTAAACTGGAGTTACAGAGAGTTGTAAACTGCCTTGTGGGGGTTGGGAATTGAACCTGGGTCCTCTGGAAGAGCAATCAGTGCTCTTAATTGGTGAGCCATTTCTCCAGCTCATATCTCTTTACTTTTGAGTTTACCATATAGTAGAAGCAGAAACCTGTAGTTTCAAGTATTATGAAGAGAAATTGTAGATATGAGCAGGTAGGTTCAAGAAAAGTTTCTATTTTATTAACCCTAACTTATTTTGTGTTCTCTATTGGCATCAGAGGTCAGTGGGAATATTTTCACTCTAATTAACTAAAAATAAATATACTTAAATGAAAATCCGTGTGTGTTATTCAGACATTGTGTATCTGTGATAAAAGTAGAAAAACAAACAAGGAAACACTTCACTTTACAGTTTGGGGGTTTTCACCCGATGTGGCAGGGAGGGATGGTGGAACAGGTCAGCTCATTTCATTGCATTGAGGAAGCACAGAACATACCCATGCTAGTGGCTCCTGGCCTCACAGATAAATCCAGAGGTGTAATTTACTAATCTCCTTAGCACTTCTCAGTTCAGTTAAGTTGACAGTCAAGATTAACCCATAGAAGTCCATGTCTTATTAATTTGACACCCAAACATCTCTCTTTGAATCATAATGTTTGGTCTGGGAAGATGGCTCAGTGGGTAAAAGTGCTTGTCACACAAGCCTGAGAAGCTGAATTCAAACTCCTAGAACCCACATGAAGCCAGATGTGGAAGCTCTTATCTTATGTGCTGAGATGGTAGGTGGAGATGAGAATCCTGGGAAGCTCACATCTGGCATATCTAGGGGGAGCAGCAAAAGACAGACCCTGTTTCAAACCTTTACATGCATGCTGTGGCATGCCCCCCACCCCCGCCCTCCCACCCTGACTCATAAAGAAATGAAATCAAACACCTTAAAATTCCATCCCTGGCCTTTAAAAGGCTATGTCCATCTGAAAGTACAATTATATACTTCACCTCCAGAATTCCCCGTCTTTACAGTTCTAACATTGTTCATAAGTCCAAGTTTAAAATATTTGAGATGGAGGCAAACTCAGCTGTGAGTCCTTGTAAAATCAGAAGGAAAATTATATACTTAGAAAGTATAATGGTACAGAGTAAACAATTTCATTCCCAAAGGAAGAAATAGAAAAGTAGCAAGGTGGTGTTAGGACCAAAGCAAGACAGAAGCTCAACAGAGGAAACAAATCCCATATTTCCGTGCCTGGAATAGTAATGTGATGAATTCTCCAGATCAGCACTACCTCTAAGACCTTGTCATTTGCAGTTCACATAGCCTTTTTCTTTGGTTTCTTTTATTTGGTAGCAGCCTGTGTTTTTCTGTTTTGCATATTCAAAGTTCCTGACATGTCCAACTTCCCGAGAGGTCTCTATTTCATCTGTGACTTTGTTCTCATGGTGTTACACGTTGCTCTTTAGGGGCTGTCTGCAGGGATACTGACCTCGCTTTAAGTGGAAGCCTCTATTCTACTGCCCTTTTATTCTGCATGCTTGCAAATATATGTATAATATGGACAGTGCCAGGGTCTGCTGCCAGTTCCAGCGATAGTAATGTCTGCATAGACAATGGTCTCTTAAGTGTCATGTATGGCTAGATGCAAGGAAGAAGCTGTTGTCAAA